TCAATACCACTGTCATATCTATTGATTAAATATCAAGCTACAACCAGGTGACGACTAAAACAGCTAGCTAGTCTCTGCCCAGACGTAACAGACTTAGCCTAGCATTCCATATATTATTATTCTATCTTATAGGTTTAGCTTTTGCTTTTAGCTGTTTTCGGTTCTGATGTTAGACTAGTTGTCTTTGACCATAGCTTCATATTAATGTACGGATATGATAGTAGCATTATTTATCTTATCTAACTCTCTAAGTAGTTTAGTCAAGAGTCATATTTCCCAGAATGTTGCATGCCTTTGAATGATGCATGCTCACCAATTTACAGTCTTATTTTGGTAATAGTCTCTTTCTGTGGTACCGTGATCTGGCCAAAGCTATTTCCCTCCATTCCTCTCGCTCTCATTTTCTTTTTTTGTCTCGAAATATAGATCAGAGAACAGTAGAATAAAATGGCATTTTACTCGACAAACATTTATTCATACCGCGTCTATCTCTGTTGCTAAATTGTTGTTTGATCAGGGCTTTGTTCATTTTTCTGCTGACGGCTGTTCTAATGGAGGGTTAAGGGAGTTGGGTGGCGGTGGTGGGGGGGTGGTTACGTTGAGTCTATATTTACCCGAGCAGAATAAAATCGATAACTCTCTGCCGTAGGAGAAGTGTGTGGATCAATGGAAGGTTTCAAAAAGCCTCTGTGAAAAATCAATGTCCCTTACATGCTATTGATGGCTGCTTGGCTGCAGAAGAATGAGAACGACAAAGAACACCTGTTTAACATGAGAAATGACTCACCTCATCCTTTGCTTTAGTCATTTGGGATTTGTTGATGTTTCTGTTTCCTCAACATGGCTCTCTCTTAAACAATATGCACCACTCATACTTATTTTTTTAAACAAGCAGAGATGTAAAGAAACAAAGTACTGCATATGCTAGGTAAAATGTAATTGTTGGACTGCTGGGGTACATTTATTGCAACATAGTTTTTACTCTTACATGAGTGAAAAAAACCGCTTTACTAATTTCCTTGTTATATTTGGGTACATTCACGGCGCAACTCTCCTTTATTGACTGTTTTGAGGCCGGTTGTGGGATATTTTATTACAAACTGACCATGAATACTATCATAATCTTTGGTTGAAATGATGTAATATTCACATACAGTATGAGAGTTCGAAAAATATAGCAATGCGCCAGTATTTAATCCTTTATCTTCTATTCATGACGTTACTCGCTACTCAAGGTTGTTTTTTGTCGGATGAGACTACTTTTCCTTATCATGAGTACTTTTTGGCTACATTTTTCACCTCTGTATTTAAGGATGTAAATCACTGCTGCTGTCCAACAACTGAGAACACATGGAGGAAATGTTTGTGACGCTAATACCAGGCTACATTCAGTACAAACCTGCGTCACTAGAGGCTGATAGGGACTAATATAATGCCACAGACTTACATCAGGTGCACAACACTACTTGAAGTGGCAGAGTGTATAGTGCTGGAATAATTAATTCAGTGCTTCTATTAATAACAAGCGGTCAATAAGATCCCATTGAGCTCTGACACTGTCTTGGCTCTAAAGGGGAATAGGGAGTACAGTCCTGCCAAGACTTTCCATAAGCAGTCAACAATTCCCTGGAGCCATGTGAGGCTGCAGGTTCAGGGGCTGGGCAGTAGGCCTCTGTCCTGAGCTGCCATGATGGAAGTGACAATGCTGCAGACCTGCGGAAATACAGGTGAGGCCTGCTGTCACCCCGCCTGTCCAACTGATGGCAACTTGGTCAGGGCAGGGAGGAAAGCGACGGGATGGAGGGAAAGACCGCTGCCTGCATGTCACTCAGTGCTGCGCTGGATGACAGAACAGCCCATTAGGAGAGGGACTGACTTCACAGGCCATTAGGGAAGGCATCACACAGACACAGCACACGGAGCACTGAGTAATGGCACAGTATAGGAGAGAGACAGGAGAGGGGATGAGAGACAGCGAGCTCTGTTTCAAAACGTTCTGGATAAAACCTAAAACTGCAACAACTTAAAGATCTCCTATCATGCTATTTTTAGGCATATATTATGGGTCTCAGATATATAAAACACTTTAAAAACATGTATATGATGTGTTTTGCTCAAAATACCAAACAGATCATGCATTTTAGGCATCCCTCATATCCCTCTGTTTCAGCCCTGTTAGAAAACTGCTGATTCTATTTCCTTAGATTGAAAAAAAAAAAAAAAGAGAAAATGCTCCCGTGATTAAATGCCATATCATGTTCCAAACCACATCAAGGATTATTTCTGAAACAGTATGGAGCTCAAATTATTTTTCTCTTGCGGGTGTATCACAAGGTGAGTACCTTTATTTATTTCCTGCTTTCTTACACTGAGGCCCAATCCCAAACACACTACCCCTCTGTTCGCGCGGAGGGTCCGCCACATTAAGAGCTGTTCCAAACCAACGAGTGTGGAGCGTGTGGAGGGGGAGTGGGCTATCAAGCCCTCAAACAGCGAGTCTGCATCGGTGCTGACTTGAGACCGGTCACTACCTGACCGGAGTCACGCTGTGTGTGTCCGTTAGGAAACACGCTGTTTACAAGTAGTTCCAGCAAACATCCACTGATAAATTGCGATGTTAACAACCTCATGATAACCTCATATGTTTTTAACTTAGGATCATCTGTGTTTAGTCTAGAAAAAGGTACATGTGTGCATTTTATTATAAAGTTGTGTATATTTACAGACTGTTGCAAAAACTAAGAAGCTTATAAAAAGCAGGTGTAAAACTAAAAGAATACAATTAAAGATGTTTGGAGTTTTATTTTAGTTATTAATTTGATTTTTTGTCTAAGAGATGCTGATTTGAAACCGTGTATTTACTCCCTCCATCTGACAGGAGGGAGCAATCGTTGAGCTGCGAGTGTCACTCACTCCGTCACGGAGGGGTAGTGTGTAGGGGTAGGGTGTAGGGCGTGGTTTGGGATTGGGCCACACTCTCTCAGTACAGGTTAGCTCTGAGTGTTAGCGATGCTTGCTAATGTAAACAAAGACCATTGTTTTCTGACACTTTGTGAGTTCCCTGACACACCGGGGACACATATGTATGTATAAAAGACATTCTAAAGTGCATATTGCATGATAGGAGACTTTTAAATGTCTGAATGGGAAAATTAAATATTGTTGCTTAGATTTTTTTAGTTGCTTTCAGCTTTGACTGAGAAATATGAAACAAAAGGCAACATTCCGAAATTCCCAACAGAGGACTTGAGAGGTTACAAAAATGGACTAAACGCATAAACAATATAAAATCATTGCCATGCCTGCCACCCACAGAGCTGTTTTCTTGTTTAAAATCTCCAGTTCTCGGTACGGCCCCACTTGCCCTCTAGTCATCATTAAACAGAAAGACGCGAGCCCAACAGACGCATCAACACGCATCACTTCTCCTCTGCTCTGAACGCTTCACCCTCAGCAATCCACCAGCCCCTGACGGACTTATTTACTGCACACAGTGGATTATGTGTGGCTGGTCAGTATACTTCCAAATGTTCCTTTGATAGCCTCTCTCTTTCTCACTGGCCCATCCCCTCTGACTCTCTGGTTCTGACCAATTCATGGAAATAACAGAACTGTTGGACCGTTTTGTGGCTGGTGAAGCACTACTGAAGGGCTCAGATAAAGGGTGTCAGCCTGATGGGACGCACTCTTACTCCAAAACAAAGACCTGGAAACTCTCCCATCTTTGACTTGATCCTTTTGTTGTTAGTGTGAAAAAAAAGGAACATACAAAAGTGTCCTTCAAGCAGCTCCCCAGGCTGTTCCATAGGGATTGGATAAAACCCGGAAGAAAAACAAAGAACAGAAACAAAGGGAGAGAAAAGTACTTATTTTGCACAATTTAAGACCCAAAGAGATAAACTGTGAGAGTTTTGTAAACAGCGAGGAAAAGCTGATGGTTAGATATCCCAGATAAAGACCGAAGGAGTGGGAGCAGGGGATGAAGCAGTGGTCTCTTGGAATGATGTTTTTTGATGAATTACAGCGCGCAGCAGCAGCCAGAGTCTCGAGCCTCACTCTGAGAGAGACAAACTGCACATTCTGTTGTGACAGAATCTCTGAATTTTAAGCACTCTGCAGCTCCTGCTTTTGCAAAACAACACATTTACACAAACATTTATTTATTCGTTTTTCTTTCTTCTCGTTCTTTCTCCTCCAACATGTTGTGTTTATATTTCGTACTTATCAAAACTAGCAGTTTTGCAGAAATCTAATATGCAGTGATGGGAGTCAGTTGTTGTTGTTGTTGTTGTTGTTGTTGCCACATTCAAATCTTGACTGCTCAATGAGGAAATGTTTATTAAAAAATGAACAAACAGCTTAGGTGTTGCTATTTGCATACTCCTAGTTCTTAAGATATGAAAGCAGTTTATTGTTCATATTGTTATCTCTGATCTTTGTTCAAACCCTTCATGTCCTTTCTGAGGCTTACTGTATAAACTGCTGTCCTGCTCTTTTGGGCCTGGAAATAGCTTTTCATTATTTCTCCTTATATCTCACAGAAGACCCAGAGTTATGGATTCAATAAAGATTGTGTGACAAATTGTATTGTTATAAAGGAGCTATTAAAATAGTACTGAACTTCGGGCAACCTTTCTGAAATGGCCTGATAAAAGAAAGAAAGGAGGAGAAATAATCATTCTGTGAACCCAGTGGACCTCACTCTGTGGGAGAGTTTAGCTGCTTAGCTGCTTTGGAGCCTTCCTCGCGTCTGAAGGGAAAACTTCTCAGGGCCAATCAGAGCTGCTTAAATTGTCTAAAGATTTTGTGGCTATAATTACACCGGGGGAACACAACATAATCATCTATGAGGACGTGGAGAACAAACCAGCTATGCTAATGTGTTTATTTTCTTTTATCAACGTCCATCACACATCCCCAATCAGCGTTAGCCGTGAAGTGCTCTCAACAAGCTGCACATTCAGAAGAAATCAGTGATGCACATCAAATCTGTCACTTACGCTGACGAGCATCTGAGGGAACGGTCCTCGAGAATTTTCTGCCACGTTGATTGGTGGGATCACCCAGTCCCTCTTCTGTCTCCCTCAGACCCTTGGAGCTGTTCCTGCCCGACCCTGAGAACATGATGACAGGAGGTGGTGCTTGCGACGCCTCCTTCCTCTCTTTTCTCTCCGCGACTTTCCCCTCTTCCTTTATGACCTTTAAGAAAACACAAAGCTTTATTTAGAAGGGTGGATGTGCTATTAATATTAACAGGAACTGATGTGATGCCAAAGTCTTGTCTGTTTCAAAGCAGAGGTTCTTTTGACAAGAGGAAACAATGTGTGAATTATATGACTGACATGGTCAATGTTTATCCTGTTTTTCAGTTTTGAAACAACTTTAAAAAAACATCCATCTCCCTGCTTTCAGAAGGAATCACTCTAGAAGCAGGTAAATGTGTCATAGCAATAACTGGAGAGAAGAAAAGTTGTAGTATAGCTTTTCAGTCTCCGTAATGAAAAGCAGTCCTCCTTTAATAATTGTGGTGCTATTTCTTCATCCATATAATGGCTTTCATACATTCTGATGATAAAGTCATAATACATCCCTGTTATAGACGCCTGAAATAATAACACAAAGACGGATGCTGTAACAAAAGCAGATTTGAAATGAGTCTATATATTTAATAGACAGTTTATTGTGTGCAATGACTCTGAAAAGATTATCAAAATCGTATAGGGCTGAACAAAAGGCAAATATAATTGATGTTTTTAAAAATGTTACCATTTTAGTTGAAGCTTTTACAGCAATTATGAAATTCATTACAGATATAAAATATAAAATTAATGCAAATGACAAGCTTGCTTAAGTTTGTTAAACATCTGAACTTATTCATGTGTGTCATCAGGCTTGAGCAACACAGAGCTGTACAGAGCTCAGTTTGAATGTGCATATATTTCTAATAGAACATAAACAAGGGACTTTGTCATTTAAACTGGGTATAAAGAGCCTATTAACTCATATTCCCCCATCACACATTTCTCTTACAGACTCCCTGCAGGCAGAGAGGAATGACCACCACAAATCTGTCTTTTTGAAAGATGCTCCAATAAGGAACTTGAAAGGAGCCTATTTTCAATCTCCTTGTGAACATTAACTCACCCGTGAGTCAGAAGAGCTACATCAAATGCTGAAGCTATCAGACATATCACCTATCTAAATGAATGTCCTCACGTTGAAATACTGCAAAACACATGAAGGTGAACTGCAGAGTTTCTGCTTCATTACAAATGCTTGCAGCGTGGGTAGGAGCCAACACAAGTCATTGAAAATACAGAAAGAAACCTTTAATCGTGTTCTTCAGGGCTAGTTAAATCACCAGAGTGCACATAATCAGATATGTAGCTTCTTAATGGAAGTACATTACACACATCGGCGCGTCTATGTCAAGGTTACATATAGGCTCCACCGTCTCAAAGCCTACTTTTGAACTACCACAAGCCTAGTGTCCCCAGGGAAACAGTGGATGTGCTGTACTGTGTGTAAGTGATATAAAGGTTATATTAAATTGGCAATCTGGAGGTTTGTTCTACAGCAAGTTTACCAACATATCTCCGGGTTACAAGCCAGTGAAAACATGTCAAGAATTGAGTCACATACATCACTGTGAAGCTCTGCATCAGTTGCGCTCTCTGTCTCAATCACGCTCCCCTGAGCTATCCCTTGCTCCTGCGCCCCCCCCCCTGCCCTTCTCTCGCAGTGTTAGTGTTGTCTCTGTCTCTCCTTCCAGTCAGTGGGTCTTGACAGCTTGTCTCAATAACAGTGATTCCTCCAGCTCTGAGCTGCGTTAGGCTGATGGTGCAGCAGAAGGTAACACAGCAGCACAGCTTCACCCGCCAAAGACACTACTAAAAGGCCTCCCAACACATTTATTTCATCAATTCAACCTTACTTTTTAGAGGGTGGTCCAATCATAGAAGTTTACTCTCCTTCTAATGATTGTTATGTGTACTCAGGTCTAATTATAATCAAATATAAATATGAGGAGAAAATGGAGAAATGGTTTAAAAGGCATCAAACTAACACTACATGAAATTAGAAATGCAGCTATATAGTAGCAGTTTTGTCTATGTATTAATATGTGAATCATGAATAGTGGATGTGTTGTATCATCCTCCAATTATATAGTGTTTTGCACTACGATCCACTTGAGTGCCCGCAGGTAGAAACGCATGTATGAAAGGTGAACATATTAATGGATTAATTAACGGGTAGGGAGATGAATGAATTAGATGCTGTCGAGCCAAGGCGTCTGCTGTTTACATGTCTGATCTTCATCTTTACCAGTTATACCCGTAATCACATACTTTGTGATAAGACATCTGCTGAGCCTTTAGGTGTCTTTGCTTGTTGGCAAAGGGAGTGATAGCCACTGTTTTTAAGTATGAGTCTGGTTATGGTTCTTACATTAACAGCCAGGCAGGAACAGATTAATAGTTACATATACCTGCAAGTAAACTACATTATTGTAAGTGTGTGTGTAGCAAACTGAGGACTTTAGAAGCTGTTTGAGTAACTGTGACAGTACTGTGCTACATAAAGACGATTATGTGGCAATGCAATAGAGGGTGTGGGGGAACAAAAACGAAACAATTCGAAACCACTCCTCTAGAGAGAAGATAGAGAAATCCTTCATTACAGTAAAAAAAACACTGCAGGTAGGACATACAGTACGTGCTCATGTGAAGGGGTGGGAGGGTTTTCGTGTCAGAATATAAGAAAAATCTGGGCTTGTGGATTCAGGAGCATAGGAGAAGGAAGTACAATCACCATACATTTACATAATAAGAGGGTAGTGTTTTTAATACCACCTCCATTTTGTTCTGTGCAATATGTAGCCTAACAGTTCTTCCCCAGCAGTTGACATTTGAGAATACAAATGAAAAACACAGCTACAGTGCTGGAAGATGGCAATGGCTTCTGGCACACATTGAAAGTGTAGGGGTCCTGTACAATGCAGTCTATAAAAAGTGTTTTTTCTTTATCTCGTTCTGTTTGTTCTAGCCTGGTCAACGTCCCTCCGAGGGTTGGCTTGTATCTGCCAGCGGAAACAACGCTTTCAAGGCTGACTTCATTAGATGGACGCCCAGGAGAAAAGCTTTTAAGGCTGCTTTAAAGGAAAATGTGTCAAGCTACCAGGCATATGGTGTGTATGCGTTTATGTGGGTGTGGGGTGTGGAGGGGCTCGGGCCAAAGTGTCATGTTCAGTTTCATCAAGCAGGCGCTACATTTCAGACACCATGCAATTCAGGGCACTTTCAGTAACTGTGCAGAAAGGGAGGTGGTTACACAGGGAAACGCATGCGGTATTAAGATGAATGAACGACAGGATTGGCTGCTCCACCTGGACATTAGTGGAGGAACATCTTGATTCTAACACCCAGACAATTTGGACTCTTAAATGGCTGCATTTTGATCCGTCGAACTAGTTCCTAACGTCATCTTTATTCCTTTTTTTGTTGCTGTGTAAGTAGTGCAGAGAGGGGTTATGTTACATAAACTGTGAGTCTGATCCAAAACAGTGAAGGTGCAGGTTGTGAGCAAAACACAGTTATACAACTTTGAAATGCTCTGACGCTGAGAGGAACTGAAGAGGGATAATTCTCTGTGGGTGTTTCATTACAACAAATACAAGTCAGTTCATCCATTATTCAATATTGATTATAGCAGCTGTATAAGCTGGTAAAGAAAGTACATCAATGTTGACAAATACAACTCAATAATATGTATTTTGGGGGGGTATTGTTTTGTACACTATTACAGTATTTCTAAGGTTTAACATTCACTTTCAATCTCAATGATTAGGTTAGGGGTTAGTGCTTAGGAATATGATATTTCAAAATGCATAATAGTTAAACAAAAACATTCTGTAAGATTACATAAAAGGGTCCATGCTGCTGAAATACAGAATGTTGAAATAGTTTCTGTCTATTTTATGATTAGTTGAGGGTGAGCAGCAGGTCCTCTTTCGGCCAGTGAGGGAGCTAAAACCCTGAAACAGACCAAATGTGATCTCACTCATGGCCCTGAGCAGCTTGTCCTCATGCTCACGGCCCAAAAAGCACAACAGTATACCCTCCTCCTCCTCTTCTTCTTCTGCTGTGTTCACAATCTGTATAAGAGACCAGCTAGCCCTCCAAACACACATGTTACCATATTCCATGTTCGCTGTACTGTGAGACAAGTTCACTGAAACATGCTCATGATCCTTTGCCTTCAGTCCATATTCAGGAGACCGGCCTCTGCCAAGCGCACCATGCCTGTGTGCACAAACAGGGTCTGTCAGCAGAGCGGGAGGAAACAGATGTGAGCCGGCTCTGGACAAATGTATTCTTTTTCTTCGGAGAGAGGAAGGCTTAGTGGGGCTGACTGCAGGGGCTGGTTGCCCCACATCCCACCAGTGCAGGGTGGAGTAGCAGAGGTGGGGCGAGACGTGTTTGGGATGAAATGAGGAGGATGAGGAGAAGGGTTGTCAGAAGCAGATGTGGCCCCCCTCGCCTCCCCTCACCTAAATAAGTCATGCTCCAAATCCTTTTATCTACACATGCTAACAGGTACTAGTGAGTTTCCTGAGGAGAGATGTAGAGTGAGAAAACTGAGAAAGAGAATTGGAAAAGGGCTGTGCACATCACAAAGGCTTAACCCAGGCTTTCTTCTAGCCAAGGTGAAATTCTGATTAAACTCTCCAATTCTGATTTACTCGTTCTTATTCACACTCCAACGGAAAAAACTAACGTACAGGAAGGTGACGAATTTATTTGAGAACAGGTTAAGCGGAGATGTCTTTGCACTTGTTCAAACTGAAAGATGGAGGATAAAGAGCAAAAAGCAAACTGGAGTAATATATCAGAAGGTTTAATGGTAGCTTCACAGATTCTACAGATTCAAAGGGATGTGTTATTCCCTTGATCCGAGGATGACGTACACTCATGCAACCCTGCACTTAGCTCAGATAAAACCTATAGGCTCCAATCATAAGACACTTTATACGTTCAACAAAGACACAACCTCACACAGACCCTACAAAACAATTCAAATGTTACGCAAAATTAGCATCATTCACACTTGATCCGACATAATCTCTTATAAAAAAAGAAAAGAAAGCATAAACAAATAACGTTGCCCCACATCCAGACATACGCTTACGCACACTAACGCCATGTGAACAGTCAGTGAGTGTGAAATGGATGCAGCCCCCCAGCTCTGGTGCCATCAGCCTTAGCCAGCTGGCGGTGGTCCCGGCTCTCCTCCCCCCCACGCCACTGCCTCCCCCAAAACCCTGCACGCTTTGATATCAGCCAGCCCCTGGCTACCCAGACATCTGGAAGTTATTATTCAACAGCGCACTCCAAAAAAGAGCCATTTCCATAATGAAACATCACATTTTGTTTCTGTGCCCTGCTTTCTGCTCGCGCAACATTCATGTTTGTTACAATCCATAGCGTATTTCTGACCTTTGGCCCTGTCGAGCTCTGTAATTATTTGAATAGCCTGTCATTTGACCTTTCACACATTGTGGTTTAATACTGAAGCTCACACCATACTAACCAGTGAGCCATCTGAAGCCTCCCCAGCTACAATAGGGCGAGAATGAAGGCCAACTTCATCAGAGCCAGAACAACACACTCATATTCACACCCACGCACACTGATCCCTTGTTGTCCGATGTCCCACTCTGCCTCAATATTCGCTGTTGTTAGAATTTGATGTATAACTGACTTGTGATATGTCTTCTTTGTGTCTGACCATGCACACTATAAGGAAAATAAAGCTGATTTTAAACTGTTTTAATAGCTGTCTCAAAATCTAAACACAAAATATTCAACTATTGGAAAAGTTGACACCTTCAATGAATCAAACCTTGCTGATGTCAGAGATGCTTTGCATTGATTTTCATCTTTTGCTTACACACATCAAAAATGTGGTTTATTATGGGTAATGATCCTCTCAAGACTCAAAGTGATGGAAGTAAAGCTCAAAATGTATTCTGAAATCCATCTATAATGTTGTCAAAATCTGATTTATTTAGTTAAAATATGATTTATTTGTGTGAGGGCGTTTGTCTATCTGTATTAGCACATAAATAAACTGAGACGGCAGGAACTGATCACCCTGAACTGAAATAAATAGGTTAAAAAAAAGTTTTCGTCTTATTAAGTCCCAAAATGTACATCCTAACTTTCTGTAATGAATTTGTGAACATGTCCTTCATGAGAGCATAGATTTTCTTGATTGATAAACTAAATAGTAACATTGGATGAACTGGTTTCTTGGCAACTTGAGGGCAGCTAAAACACAACAATTACATATAATCTTCTTTAAATATCGTACAGTGAACTTTGTGCCAAATATTTGCTAATTTACACATCCAGCACCCTCAGAGCGACAACAGCCTGCATTAGAAATGTGTTTATGGCCCCCTGGTGAATATAAGAGCAATATTCATTCCCCTTTATACTGTGTTTCGTATATTCACTGAGTTTTCAGAGCCTTTTCGCTGAAAACAGCTGCTGAAACCAGTGAGACTAAACATAATTAGTTTTATGCTTCAACTAAACTTGAGCATGTGTCTATAGCCAGTAAGTGACAGCTGGTTCCAACCAAAAGCTCAAACAAGAATTCATTATGTTTCATGAGTGATACACTTCCTAGCTAGGGTTGATATGTTCAGGAACTGACAGGCCATCTCCTGCATGACATGTCTGTAATTACATTATAGTGAAAACAGGCTACTAATAATATTTGTTGTTTTTACCTGATCATCACTCTTTTGATTTTGACACTCAGATGTGGTCTTGTGGTTCTGTAGTCATGGGGACGGTTGAGCTCACGCTGCTCAGGCTTCACCTGACCCCTGACAGCTTTTAAATATAGGAGGAAGAGTCGAGGACCCCTGGGGTATCCAAGGCACAGGATGTTTTCCAAAACAGCTTATAGCTGAGGGGAATCATGATCTCCTCCCGTGACAGTGTGATTCTATCACTTTCAGCTGTGTGCTACTGCTACTTCTTATTGCTCCAGTCACTCCCTCCCTCCTTCTCTAAAACCCCAAGGAGTTTTGACCTGATTCTCGGCTGTTGCTATCACCAGGACCTCTGGAGGAAATTCGATAGGAAGAAGAAACTCTTGGATTATAATTGAAATTTGAAGCATGCTCAGTGAGAGTGAAACTCACCTCATTCTCATTTTGTTGAGGTAACAGTGGGTCAATGAGGGCCAGCTGGATCACCGTCTCCCAGACTCGTGTGGTGGGACCCCCGGCTGTTAGTTTAAACTGGACTGGTTCGTCCAGGCTGGCTCCCTCTCCCTGGGCATAGATGGACCCATCTGTCCGCATGCTGAAGATCGGATCACTGCTCCGGAAAACCACAGCCTCATTCCCCATGCAGTCATCGAACTTCACTGTGGACAAGAGACATGTAAAGATTTAATAAACGTATAATAAAAACATATATTGTGTCATCATTTAACAATTAAATTGCCGTTTTTTTCTCACAGGGATGCAAACATTCACATACAGTTCAAACATCAGTATAGGAAGTAGATTACAGAGATTGTATCATGTGCCCTGTTTGACTCTGGTGCATCTCACCATTAGTCTCCATTAGTTATAGGTCAAAACATCACAAGGATAAGACTCTTGAGGATTGTTCTCTAAAGCTGCTTGTGAGAAAAGACGGACACGTGATGAGGTGTGAGTTACTGTGGAGGGGGTGAAACATTGATCTTGATAAAGCTTGAATCTGTTTGAAGGTGGACAAAGTGTTTGGTAATTAACAGTTAAAATGACAGACAGGATGTACAATTATTTGTAATTATTTTTGTTTTCACTTCATATTGAATTGTTAATTGCATGAAATTATGAGCTTTTTTTTGTTTTGTTCATAGCCAATGCTCATGCTAGTGCTAATGGGGATCCTAATAAAGAATAAGACGACCTGGTCAAACATTAAATAACATTGTTACTTTATAAAAAATAGATAATATACATAGGAAGTAACCAACAGTGAATACCAGTGAAGTGATCAGCTTCATCTGCAAATGTAGTACTCCCATTTTCATGACTAAAATGAAAAAAACCTGTTCTGTCAAAAAACGAATATTCTACTAGTGTTGTGGCTTTTCACGATACTATGCTTTTTCATGAGTGACACAAAATGATGCTTTTAGCTTTAAATCTGAAGGCTAAATCGCTCTGTTTCTTTTCTCTAGTTATCTCTGTCAGTTCAAGGTCATATTAATTCACAATGATCGCTGCACAGACTGTCCCATCCTCTTCTTTTCTACGCGTTTCATTCACACTGCGATACACTGAGACATGTGAAAACCAAACACTTCGCACATCACATCTTCATCGTGCTGTAAAACACATTTTAGTGAAATGGCTTAAGGAAAACGGCCAGCTAATTGCACCAATTTTCTTCAAATGACACATAGCTGCCACCCATTTTCTAAAGCTTTCTTTCACACAACCCTGGGTTTGCACATCAGTGTTCATGTAAACCTGCTTGAGATACAGTTTAAACTGTCTCCTCACATTTATGTAAAGGTTTGTGTTGTTTGGCAGCACTGTAGTTCAAATTGATTGATCTGAACAATGTGCCTTCGTATCTTAATTCAGAATGTCACAGTTTTCTCATACATCCTCCTCACACCTAATGACCCAGATCCATTGTTATCCTCCATATTGGCTCATTGTGCTTGTATGAGAACATACACAATGTTCAAACTTAATTGTCACCTTCATCGTTAGCACAGCCCATTTAATACAGTCACACTAAACCAGTCACTGCTAATAACCAATCTGCAGGGAATGTTTTCTTGCACTTAGAGGGCATGGCCTGTTTGCACATATCTGATCAGTATTCATTTAACATGTGTGATTAACACAAATCACACATTTACTTATCACTCTGCACAGTGTATGACAGAATAATAAAAAAGGTGCATATTCATCCATCCCATGTAAACATGATTGTGTGAACAACAAAAGTGGTTAATTAATTAATGCCTGACAAATAGATATTACACTGTGGACCAATGCTAACAGGGCTCTGGTGTCATATAGAGAAATAATAGTTTTACTCAAACTCAAAATGTAATCATCCAAAACAGCCATATGTATGAGCAGGGAGTACACATGGAACTCAAGCCTCAATCATCACAGCATCCTTGCACCATACACACACTTTTGATGGAAACTGTGGCAAATATACAGGAAAAGAGCTTGAAATACAGTATGAAAAATGTCCCCATCCTTCAAAACAGAACATCCCTTACGAGGAGGAGATTTGCTTCTCCAGCAGGGTACACTGCCAGAGAAGTAATCAGAGGCAGTTCAATACATGAAAGAAAATCTCTATGGAGTTTTGTGCTCTCCAGTAAGGACATTAAATACTTTTTATATCACAATAAGATAGTACTGTATAGTTCAGTATGGAGCTTTCTGCTTTGCCATGGCGCTCGTGTGTGTGATCTCTTATGAGACTCTCACGGAGTTCATGAGAAGATGAGTCACAGACAAAGTGTCGCACATATCGGCCATATACTCTTCTCCTTCCTCCCTCACAGCACCCAAAGCCTTTCCTCTCGGGGATTATAACGTCTAGACTACAAATCGTAGAAAACCCTGAGCTGAAGGCCGCATCTCACTGCCGTATCTACTCTTCCTCTCTTCCCACGTCTCCACAACAGCTGAAACAAGGCTTCTATTACAGAAAGTAAACTGCGACTAAATCTGGCTTTTTGTTCTCTCTGGATGTAAATATGCCTGTGATCTTGTCAGTACCCTTCTCTCTGAGGCTTGATGTCCAGACAGCCACTCAGAGCTGAGTCAGAAGGGACAGTTCAGCAACAATAGCGCATATAGCAGGTGCTGCACAACTGTCCCGGTCTAGACAGGAAGAGACAGGATGTACGAGATTGATTACATCAAGCCAAAAGGCAGAGAAGTCTGGCTTTCTCTCTTTATGTAGCTGAACAGTTCTTCCCCAAACAAACACACTCAAAAGCCTTTTTCGCTTCTCTCTGTTTGTCTCATTCTCTTTTATTTTGTCTAAGCTTATCTCATATCTTTTACCATTTATTTTTTTCAGATTCTCAAAATGTTATTTGGAAGGTGGGGATGACAATAACAAACACGCCAGTTGGCAAACATGTATCCGTGCAAATAGATTTTTGGAAGGCTGCCTGATCATAAAATGAAGTCAAACATCTAATTCAAAGCATGCTTTATTTTATTTATAAGACCCTGAATATGTGAAACTGTCTAAGAGTGTGAAAAAACAAAAGCAGCAGGTGGTCTGTGTTCCTTCCTCTCACCGTCTTCAAATTATTTTCTCGTCTCTGTCTGAGCTAGGCACGCAGCCACCAGTGTGTTGCTGCCGTCATGGCTGCTTGAGGCCTGAATGCTGAGGCTTCAAACTGAGGGGAAGGGTTATCCAGGGGGTATGTTCAAACACATTAAAGAAATATAACAGTTGCTGCGGTGCTGGGACATCATGGCAGTAAGGTTCTGCATTAAAACATGGGTGTGAATAGTTGTGTGTCCATGCGATAGTCCTTTAATGACCTCAGAAGGTGTGTCAGATAATGCATATCTGTTTCCCATTTTATATTTGAATTGTTTACAGGCACTAGTGGTGATGGCCCGAAATACTGAAGGGTCGTCTCAAGCTGAGGTCACTGATGTGGTGATTTAATATGATGCTTACTATTTGTTTGTTGGTAAATAATGGAAAAATAAAATCTTTAAGGGAAAATTGGTGAACGACTAAATTGATGAGCCACTAAACAATGAGGTAGTTGGGTATATACTGTAGGCGTATACGCGTATAATCAGTCCCTGTGTGTATGTGTGTGTAGGCATTTATTCACCATGATTGGCTGGATGTCTCAACAATGAAAAGCTGAACTAACTGCACCAATACCCACACACACATGGAGTGACAAGCTGCGCAAAGGGTACCCAGAGGGTCTTGTTCTTGCACCAATTAAAGAAAAAGACAGTGCCAATTTTACTCCTCCATCGACATACACACACTCACAGACACACACATAAAACTCCAATAGCTCCTCTTACACTCAGTTGGGTCGATACTGCTATAAGAGACATTATAAAATCGGCCAACAACAGAGCAATGAAGCCCAACGGCACAGAGCTGCACATTAACACGTCGTCTAAAGCAGTGGCTCGGGTTGTGCATTGATCTGGCAAATAACACAGACACCCCCGTGTGCCAAACAGCCAGGCCAGCACTATTCTGCCGTCTAGTCAATGTAGTGACACATCAGAAACGATACAAACACTACCAAGATATATGTGGGGTGGTCTCTCATAGGGAGGGGTCAATTCCATGCTTTCTTTAACACAATTGCTAATAATGCGTTGAAATGGCGCTATAATATCACAGCCCAAACAAAGCCTTTGCATATTCCTCTCTTTTCTAATTAAAGTTCCCTTCTCGCTAAAAAAAAGACAAGGACAAGGAGGATGTGAAAAGAGTTGTGACCTTCTTGAGGTGTCTTCTGGACAGCCTGACATGAAGTAGGTGACAAGTGTTGAAAGGGAGGTGAGAAAGGGATACGTTGAGGGGGGAGAGAGCGAAAGCTTAGGAGTGACAGGGAGAAGGTGAGAGAAGAGGGAAGGAGAATGGAAGGGCATGGAGGGAGAGAGATTGATGAAAGGATGGAGAGTGTGTAGAGGTGGCAATCAGAGAGACAGCGAAATGAATGAAAGACCATTAAAGAGGAGAAAGGAAAGAGGTGAAAAATTGGCAGATTGCAGTTGCTAAAGTGGAGATCTCCAGAGGCAGCAGAGTTTATAGCTGCAGCCGTTTAAATTGTTCAAAGTGTGGCGCGTTGAATGCGTCAGATGTCACCCTGCTCTGCAGAAACAGTAAATAACAGATACTCTTCACGGCCCCGATCTCTGCTACAATCAGGCCCATTGAGGACAAGAAAGGAGCAAGTAGAATGAGGATGATGAAGAGGAGGAGAGGAATGGGAGTTGAGGTGGAGGAGGGCAGCGGACGGGGGCCTGGCACTGGGAACCTGGCGCGGAGAACTGGCGCTCTCTCACTCAGCCACATTGGAATGGATGGGATGCTCAGATGGCTGTTTAAACAGGTTAATTGGGCTGGCCTCCCGAGAGATAGGGACAGATGGATAGAATGAAAGAGGAGGGAAAGAGAGAGCAAAAGAGCGACAAAGGGAGAGCGATGGAGCTCAGAGAGATGGAAACAGAGGGCGGGATGAAGCGATGGATGGTGAGAGACGAGTATGGCTGCTGATCAGAGGCACCATGCAGCGGTGCAGTCTAATCAGAGCCCTACAGTGGGCTGGGCCCTCTGTGACTTACTAAACAGAGCCAGGTCCACTGTTTACTACCAAACTAATACTGA